CGGGCCTCTCCTTCTAATGCCTTTTGTACTTCTTACTTTATTTTGGATGTTGCTCTAATGGATCGCTTCTTTTTTTTCCAGAGGCCTCTCGTTTCCAACGAAGACCGAACCGAGAGAACGCGTTCCACTATTCCAAAGAAGGCGAGGCTCGCTGCTGCCCTTCTAGACTCTGATACCAAGATCGACACGTCTCTCACTCCTTTGGTCACAAACCGTCGCAGGAGTCAAGGTGCACTTTCTGAGAGAGCGCCCTCCCTTGCCCCCAGTTTCACAGGGGGCGGGTCTGTGGCGAAGAGAAGAGTGTTGGTGGATTTAGAGGCGGAGGCTTTCGGAGCCTCCGATGTTTTGGAAACCCTTCTAGAAAGAACCGAGGCGAAGAGCCTAATGGAAGTGAAGATGGAGGTGGGAGCTTCTAGGACCCCTGCGACTGCTGCCGAGCCCTCAGCTTCGGTCGCTGCGCGAGCAAAAAAGAGAAGAAGAGAGACTGGCAAAGCAGTGGTGGGGAAAGCTTCTGAGGATCCTGCTAAGGATGAGACTTTTGAGAAATGGGAGCCGCCAATGTCACATAAAGGCAGGCCCATTTCCACTTCTGATTTAGTTGTTGCTTCACAAGATTTTGCCTTTGATTTGACTAAGTTTTTGTTGATGCCAGTTGACATGGCCGACCATAATGGGCCCCGTGATATTCCTATCCTGAAGGGGACCCTTCAGATGATGATTGTTGTAAATGTTTCCTCGTTTTACTTGTCTTTATTATTGCGTTGCTATCTCATTTTCTCTTAATTCTTCGGTGTCCTTTGCAGTGTATCCAGAGAATGCATCTGTCCATTACCCATACTGAAAAGCTAGAAAGGGTCGTGCTGGAGGCCGCAATGAATGCTGAGAGACTGACTGTAAGCTTGGAGACAGAGAAGGAAGGACACTGAATCGCGGAGAGGGAAGCATTTCGGTTGAACAAGATTGTCACTTCAGCTGAAAAATCGAAGGAGGCTGCTATTGGGACACAGGCTCAACTCGAGGGGAAGGTGGCCGAACTGGAAGCCGTTATTGCCGTGATGGCCGCCGAGCGCTCTGCTTTGGAGGCCAAGCATTGGCAACAAGGCTGGGATGAAGCTGGGGCGGCGTATAAGGATGAGGTGCTAGTACTACGAGATAAGCTCTTTCTAAAGGGTTGAACGAGTGCTTTGGCTGCTACGCTGGTTCCTGAAGGCTTTTCCCTATTTCAGGATGCTCCCGTTCCTTCAAGATCCTTGGGTTCGAAGAATGTTTCCACCCCTGCTGTTCTTCCAGCCGAAGTTTCCCTAGAAGCTGATTCTGCAAACAAGACCCAGGACAGTAATGTTGCCGCTGAAATGATGGATGTTGAAAGGATTGAAACCCTCGAGACCGAAGCCGCGGGAGATGTGGTTAAGGAGGCTTCTACTTCTCAGGAAGTTGGAGCTGCATCTACTTTTCCTCTCCCAGACGGCCTGGACGAAATTGTTGATGCTGCTCTTGAGTTTCCCTCTGTTACTGAAAGTTGATGTTGAAAGGATTTGAACTTTTTTGCTTTTCTGTTTTGATGTATCGTGGCTCGGTCTCCAGGACGAGCTTTCTTTCTGCACTTGCCAAGACAATTTTTCTTTTCTCTTTTCTTTTATTTGCTGCTGGTTATGAGGCCATCTGTGCCTTTTGCTGGATGATAGAATTTTCTCTTTGAACTTGTAGTCTGATGCTATTTAGCTTTTATGTCTGAATGTTTTCTATACTGCCTGCCCCTGGCCGAGCACTGTTGGGACCTCAGGGCCGAATAGATGCTCGGTCTGGTTCTGTACTGCTTTTAAATAGATGCTCTGTCTGATTCGGTACTGCTTGCCCCCGGCCGAGCACTATTGGGACCTCGGGGCCGAACTGATGCTCGGTGTGGCTAACGGATGTGTGGTATGGCTGTGCTTGAGTTTGTAATTGGATCTTACTTAGGTCCAGGTTGGTTTTAAAAGAAAACAATTGTTTGCCCCCACCTGGAGCTAAGTAAGATTAGTACTGAAGATTGTGCTCTTAGATAGAACTACTTAAGTCTGTTGCAACTTTGATAGCGCAGATGCATTTGAATGAGATAAAGGCATGAAGAGGTGTCTTACTCAGGTCCAGGTTGGTTTGAAAAAACAATTGTTTGCCCCCACCTGGAGTTGAGTAAGACTAATGCTGGGAGTTTGCTCCTGACAAAGTCTGGTCACGCCTGTTCCAACTCTGTTTGTTTAAATCAGTACGGAAGTGTTGACGTGTTGGTACTTAAGGAAATCTGTGGATTCAAAGATGTTTACTTAAGATATGTTAGTGTGGTTTCCACCAAGCAATTCCACTTGGCTATAGTCCAATTTAGTTGCCAAACATTATTCCACCAAGCAATTCCACTTAGCATGTTCGAGTGCTAACCAAATTTAAATTCCGTCCAGTCGTTCTGAAACTAAGTCCATTTGGGTTAAGACCAAAGTTAACTCCGTTTGATAAACATCAAAGCTAATTCCATTTGGTGAGGACCAAAGCTAATTCCGTTTGATAAGCATCAAAGCTAATTCCGTTTGGTAAGAACCAAAGCTAATTCCGTTTGGTAAGAACCAAAGCTAATTCCGTTTGATAAACATCAAAGCTATTTCTATTTGATAAATATCAAAGCTAATTACAAGAATTTGATAAATTTGAGAAAAGTGGGGAAGCATTTGCATTGGTCAACAGGTAAATGCCTTTACATTCTGATAGAGAGGGTAGGGAACAATTCTATTGATAGTATTTCTTGAGATTTGCTACGTTCTAGGGCCAAGGTATAACTCTGCCATTAAGATCCTCTAGGTAGTAGGCTCCATTTCCGACGACAACTGTGAATTTGTAGGGACCTTCCCAGTTAGGCCCAAGTTTGCCCTCGCCAGGCACCTTTTTGTGATCCATAACTTTCCTCAAGACCAGTTCTCCTGGTGTAAATTGCCTTGGGAAAACTTTTTGGTTGAAACTCTTGATGAGCTGCTGTTGATATGCTACAAGTCTGATCAGTGCTGCTTCTTTTCGGCCCTCTGATATATCTAGTGCTTGTGCAATAGCTTCCTCGTTACTGGTGCTCTCAAACAATTCAGACCGAAGGGTTGGGAGGCCAACTTCGAGTGGAATGATGGCCTCCATTCCGTAGGTTAGTAAGTAAGGTGTTTCCCCCATTGATCGCCATGTTGTGGTTCGGTATGCCCATAGCACATGGGGTAACTCTTCAATCCATTTTCCTTTGGCATGCTCAAGCCGTTTCTTTACTCCATTGATGATGGTTTTGTTTGAGGCTTCTTCCTGTCCATTGTTTTGCGGGTACCCTGGAGAAGAGTTCCTATACTCGATCCTGAGGTCGGCACAAAATTTTCTGAAGATCTTACCATCAAACTGTGTTCCGTTGTCCGTAATCAGTACCCGCGGGATGCCAAAACGCACCACCACATTTCTCATAACAAACCGCTTCGTATCTGCCTCTTTGATATTTGCCAATGCCTTGACTTCAATCCATTTAGTAAAATAGTCGATTGCTGCAATGAAGAATCGCATGTTCCCAGTGCCTCGCGCCAATGGTCCGACAATATCCAGACCCTATTGGGCAAAGGGCCATGGGCTGGTGAGTGGGGTGATAGTTTTGGCTGGCTGATGAATGAATGGAGCAAACCTCTGACATTTATCACACTTCTGTACATACTGCTGAGCATCTTGTTGCATCCGTGGCCACCAATACCCGTGAGTGAGGGCTCGGTGTGCCAGCGACCTTCCGCCAATGTGGCATCCACAAGTCCCATCATGAATTTCATAGAGAACATTCTCAACCAGATTTGGATGCACACATAGGAGATAAGGGCCAAGATAGGAGCGTCTGTACAGCTTCTCGGATGATGAGATCCAAAATCGAGCTGACTTGTGTCTGACTTTGTTGGCTTCCTTTTTGTCTTCGGGGAGAGTACCAGATTTTTGAAAAGCAAGTATTGGATCCATCCAGCTCGGCTCTACGCTGCTGCAGAGGACTGGAGATGCAATGCTTGGCTCTGGCACGAACTCAACCCAAACTTTTCTGGCATCTTTGGTATCCACTAATGAGCCGAGACAAGCCAAAGAATCAGCATGGCCGTTTTTGTCCCGACTAATTCGTTCCACTCGTATGGATTGAAACTTTTTGAGTAAGTCTTTGGCCTTTCCTGCATACATGGCCATTCTTTCATCCCATGTTTCGTAGACCCCGGAAAGCTGGTTTACCACTAGCTGTGAATCGCTGAAAACAAGAAGTTGTTCTGCACTGAAGTGTTCGGCACTGCGTAAGCCAGCCAACAACGCTTCGTTCTCTGCCTCGTTGTTCGAAGCCTTCCAACCGAGCCTGAGAGTCTGTTCCTAGATAAATCCTTCTAGTGAGATAAGTACTACTCCTGCCCCCGAACCTCGGTTATTGGACGACCTCGTCAACATAGAGCTGCCAAATGTTTCCGATGAAGAGTTTCCAGGCTTTCGAAGCGCGGGGCTTTCCTTGTTCGTTGATACGTGGCACCTGTGCCGAACTTGGGTTCCCTGGTTCGATACTCTGGGTGGGGGCAAATTCTACGACAAAATCTGCTAAGACTTGGGCCTTAATTGCTATCCTGGGTTGATACCGAATGTCAAACTCCAAGTTCTACTGCCCATTTTGCTGTTCTGCCAGAGAAATCGGCTCGGCTAAATACAGATCTGAGGGGGAATTTAGTGAGGACATTGATGGTATGCCCCTGGAAGTAATGTTGTAACTTCCTCGAGACGATAAGCAGCACGTAAGCTAACTTTTCTAATGGTAGATACCGTGTCTCGGCATCTAGTAAAGTCTTGCTAACGTAGTATACAGGCCTCTATTCCTTGTTAACCTCTCGAATTAATACTGCGCTTAAGGCATGATCTGAGACTGCTAGATAGAGGTACAGCTCCTCTCTTGGATCTGGAGTAGACAGAAGGAGAGGTGTACTGAGGTATTTTTTGAGACTTTATAGTGCTTCAGTGAACTCGGAACTCCATTCAAATGCTGCCCTTTTCTTCAAAAGCTGGAAGAAGGGCTTCATCCGATCTGAAAACTTGCTGATGAACCGATTTAGTACGGCCGCCATTCCGGCCAGTTTCTGCATCTCCTTAGCCTTTGTTGGTACTTCAAGATCTTGTATTGCTTTTATTTGGTCCGAATTTGCCTCAATTCCTCTGTGAGTGACCATATATCCCAAGAACTTCCCTCTTCCAACCCCGAAAGCGCATTTCAAGGCATTGAGGCGAAGCTGATGGTTCTTTAATATGCCGAAAACTTCTCTTAAGTCTATAAGATGGTCTGTAGCGAACTTGCTCTTGACTACCATATCATCTACATAAGCTTCCATGGTTTTTCCCAGTTGGACCTTGAACATCCGAGTGACCATCAGCTGGTAGGCCGCCCCGGCGTTCTTGAGGCCAAACGGCATCACTCTGTAGCAGTAAGTTCCTCTCGGAGTGATAAATGCTGTCTTTTCTTGATCCGGACCGAACAGTGGTATCTGATGATAACCGCTATAAGTGTCCAGAAAACTCATGCGCTCATGCCCTGCTATTGAGTCTACTAGTTGATCAATGCAAGGCAGAGGAAAGCTATCTTTAGGGCAGGCTTTGTTCAAGCAAGTGAAGTCAACGCAAACTCTCTATTTTCCGTTCTTCTTCTTGACTACAATTGTGTTGGACAGCCATTGCGGGTACTGAACTTCCCTGATTGCTCTTGAAGCCAAGAGTTTTTCGACTTCGGCAATTACTGCTTCGGTGTGCTCGACTGAGGATCTCCGACTTTTTTGCACAATGGGCCGAGCTGAAGGGTTGATGTTGAGCTCTTGGCAAGCAAATTCTGGGTCCAACCCTGGAGTATCATATGCTAACCATGCGAATACCTCCATATTTTCCCTCAGCAGTTCCAGCAACTGAAGTTTCTCATCAGCGCCTAGCAAGGTACCGATAAGGAAGTACTTTTCTGGGTCATCCTCTTTTACCAAGACTTTCTCAAAATCCTCTACCATCTTTTCCTCTGGGATTCCCCATACATCTTCCAAGACTGGCTGTTCGGCCACTTCTACCATCTCTACCCGATTGTAGAGTTGCTTTGCCTTTAATGCTGCCATGAAGCAATGTTTGGACACAACTTGATCCCTTGAGATCTGCTCTACTCCGTGTTCCGTTGGGAAACGGATGAGCTGGTGGTAGGTTAAAGGGACTGCCTCCATTTGATGAATCCATGGGCGGCCAAGTATGGCGTTGTAAGGGGATGGTGTATTAATAACCAAGAACTCTATCTGGAGGGTTTTTGTTCCCGCCACGACTGGCAACACTATTCTGCCAAGAGGCCATTCTGGCTGTGAATTGAAACCGGCCAACGGGGCTGCCGCTGGGGTGAGGTGCTGCTCGGAGAGACCAAGCTTTCTGAACAAATCATAATACAATATGTCTGTTGCATTGCCTTGATCTACTTGGACTCATTTTACGTCAAATCGTTTCCCAATTCCCACAGTTATAATCAGTGCATCAGTATGTGGGTATTGTATGCCTTCTAAATCTTTGCTAGTAAATGAAACAATGCACAAGGGGAATTTGGGTACCGTACGTACCTTTTTCGATGCAGGCTTTACTGACATGACCCTCTGAATTTGCGCAGCCTTAGCGATCTCTTCTTTCAGTGCCTCATCAGATTCTTGAGTCGCCGTCCCGTGGATCACATTTATTATCAACCGAGGTGGGTGCTCAATATTCGGTTCTGGTGGCAGGTTCCCCAGTTCGGCCACTTCCTTATCCTGATCAATGTAATCCCTTAGGTGCCCGGCTGCCACTAGATCTTCCAAGTATTGCTTCAGTGCCCTGCAGTTCTGAGTCATGTGCCCCCTGTCTTAGTGGTAGGTGCATCTGAGCTTCCGATTGCGCTGAGCTGGATCTTCCAACATTTTCGGCGGCCAAACAAAGAAGGGCTCTCTCTTGATCTTTTCCAGGATTCGATAGATTGGCTCTTTGAATACAGTCACAATGGCTTCATGGGATTTGGACTTATCCACTTCATTCACTGCAATCCCTCAGTGTTCTCCTCGATCTGTTCTCTTTTTGTGCCGAGCTGTTTATTCTGCTGACGCTACCTCGATGGGGATTTGATCATCTTCGAGGTGAGCGTACTACTCAATCCTGGCACACAAATCTTTCAAAGCTGTGGCCGGGCGCTTGGTAAGTGATTGTCTCAGCTTACTTTCCAGGCGCAGACCTTGTTTGAAGGACATAATGGCCATCTGTTCGCTGCACACATTTTCTTCTAGGTCATTGTACCCTTCCCAGTATCTCCTGGCATAATTGCGCAGTGTTTCCTCCTGCTCCTTTCGGAGACCGAACAGTGTATCTGGCTCCTTCAGAATCTTAGTGTTGGAGACGAACCTGGCTAGGAACTCTTCGGAGAGCTGCTTCCAGCCATGGATCGATCCAGTGGGGAGACAATCGAACTATAGAAGTCCGATTTCTCCCAAGCTGGATGGGAAGACTTTACACATCAGTGCCTCATCTCGGTTCCATAGGGACATCATCTATCTATAATGGCTAATATGTGTCTGCGGGTCCGACTTCCCGTCGTATGAAGTGAACTTTGGTGGGGTGAATTTCTTTAGGGGTCTCAAGGTCTCAATCTCCGGGGAGAATGGCGAAGAGACGAGCCTGTCCAGCGCTCAATGTTCTCTCTGGTGAACAGTACAGTCCAGATGATCCCGATGTTGTTCGTTCTGCCTATTGCCAATCAACCAAGTACGAAGGTCCTAAGGAGGGTAGTCAGTCTGTTGGCTAACTGTCTTCTGCCTTTTGACCCTTCTCTGGCTTGACCCACGGGTGTGAGTGCTTGCTGCCTCACTCTGTACTGGGATAGGCTGGCTTTGTTGCCCAGACTCATTCCTGGGGAACTTCTTCGCTGGTGGCTCTCTGGATGAGCTCCTCCGTCGCAAACGAGAGAGCTCCGCTTCCGTCTTCTTTTCCGTCGGATCTCCCAGCACCCTCTTAAGTTGGGTTTTCAACTCCTGTATCTCCATCCCCATGGAGTCTATGATACGATCTCTATAATCCTTTTCCAGAAGAAAGTGATGAGAAGAACCTCCAGCGAAGGGTAATCGATGCTCGACGGATTCAGGGGTTCGATTATTGTTTCCAGTTTGTTCCTTCGGGACTGTTGGGATTGCCAAACCTTTGTCCTTCGTTTTCTCCGTCTGTGGAGTATGTGTCGAAGGCGGAATATCCTCAATCCCCATCGCCGGAACTGAGTGCAGAGCTCAGAGATGAAGTGATCCACGCTCACCGCACCAATTGTGCGTACTGGATTCCGCACTAGATGAAAGTGGATCGGGGCTCCGCACTCGGTTGAACTATCCAGGGACTGAGGTTCCTGCCACAAGAAGCACCGTTAGAGCTGTCCGGCCGGGGTTGGCCGGATAACCCCTCCGGTGTGGGAATTAGTGATCGGAGAGAGAATGTTTATCGAGTTGACCTTGTAGTTTTTACTTGGAATCGTTCAGTTACCTTCAATGTGAAGTTCATGTTGTATATATAGTGTTCCTTGCTTGCTTCTCAATGTGGGTTCATGGAGTTTGGATGCTGCAAGGTGTCCTTTTAGCATTGCTCAAGGTGGGGGACCACCTGGTAGTTGTCATTGAATGCATATACTCATTGCAGTCATGCTGATAACAAATCACATTCCTCTGATTCAACAACTTCCGTGATTCTAGGTGTAGGGGACCAGCTGAGGTGGCAACTTGCACATGCACACATTCACAACTTCCACGTTTCCTTGCGAGGTTTCCTCAGCTCGGTACCACTGTGCCTCAGCTCGGCATCATTATGCCTTGTCTTGGCCTTTTACAGGATCATTCATGGAGATAGGCTGATCCATTTGAATATCTTTGTATGGGCTCAGCCCATAGGTTCAGTCTTGCAGCTCGGCCCAGCCCAGCACCACGGCTGGACTAGCCTTTCCACTGCAGGTTGGGCCCAAGTGCTTGAGGACCTGGGTGGACTGTTGATCATGAAGTTGGGCTCAATTGGTTTGCCCATATACTCATCCAGCCCATTTGGATTCGGACTTCAGTGGATTGGGCCGGCCTAAGGCTTGGACCCGACCCGTTTCACATTTAGCCCTTTCATGCTCTGTTTTAATCTTTTGTTTTCTTTGTTTGTTTCTCACCAACTAGGAGGTTGGAGCTTTGTTTAGCTCCAAGCTCCTCTTTATTGATATATCCTTCATACTTTGTATGGTTTTATCATCAATAAAGTCCTTCGTTTTGCCGATCAAAACAAAAAAAGTGCTGCATTTGATTGATGTTAAAACAATATTTGAAATGACATTCGATTCTAGAATTGGTAGGATGGTTAATAAGTTACATAGGCGGTTCACAGATAACTTGTTTGTGAATCATTTTCCTTTGAAAGTTGCAAAAGTTTTCACGTTAAGCATGGACCCTAAAAGGAAGCCTCTTTGATGATCATGTGCAAGTGACTTATATGACTATGCTTTTGAAGCACTTGACAATTTGCCAAAATATGCATACTTGTCTGGTGACTACACTAAGAACCCTAGTTCTTATTGTGCTAATTGCTTCGGATTTCAAAAAGCTTTTTCTGCTAACAGGGAGGAAAAGCAGCCTTCGGCATATGATGATGTGATAAAAATGCTTGAAAGAGAGGAGGAGCTTGAAGATTTCAGTGGTAAAATCACTACAAGCGACATTGATAAGCATTCTGAATGGCTAGGAACACATCTACTTGGAAATAGTTCTAGCTCAAATCAGGAACAGCCTAAAGGGTTGAATTCCGACAAAAGTTTTCCTCAGTAGGTCGGTTCCTTCATAAAATTTCTAGACTAGAACATCCTAAGCATATTTCTAAATGTCCAAACTGTAAGAAATTTTGTAAATTAGGCTCTCATTGACTATATTTTGTTTGGCTTGTCAAAAACGGGTTGAAAATGATTTGGACAGATTGACTGGTATGAGTCCAAAATTATTATTACCATCCATAAAGTTTTGGGTCATGATCCATCTTAGTGTATTTATTATTTTATATGTCATATGTAGTATGGAGGTGTAAGGCCTATTTTAAGTTATTTGGGTTCCTTATGAGAGGGTCCAATAAATTTTTATTTAGGTCCGGTCTCCTCTCATTTCCTATTAGCATTTATTTATATTTAAATCAAAGAGTTGTTAGTCTCAAAGGGTTGTTAGTCTCATTGAAAAAACAACGTGAAAAATATAGGAAAAGATGGGGAAGAGATAGTGCTAAGGTTTTCTTATTGTGAATAGCATTTTCTTTCAAGCAAACAAAACTCAAGACAATGGTAGAATCAAACAATATGTATCTAAGTTTATATTTTAGTAGTTAATTATATTCATAGTGTTTTGATTTCTACCATATAGATCCTATAATGGATAAGGGGCAAGAGTCCTAGAGTAAAGAGAAGACTTTGCTAAGATAAGGATAAAGCTCTTAGGGAGTTTATCTTTATCTCTTGAGGAATCCAAAGTAAGCAATGAATTGGAGTCCATAGAAGTCAGGCTTCTAGTGGGACTTGGATTGAGTAAACTATAAAAGAGAGGCACCCCCATGGGTCTAAGGTACGCAGTTTTATACTCAAGCTTGTGAGTTTAACACTTGATTATCTTTGAGAGATATACTGACTTGATCGTCGGAGTGCCCCCGGGTGGAAGAGCCACCGCTGGAGCCTTTTCTTTCTGTTACAGGTTTGCTGAAGCCATCTATTCTGCCAATGCTCTCCAACTGATTACCAGGCGGGCAGTGTGGTCAGAAAATCACCCACACAATTTGGCGCCGTCTGTGGGAATTTTAGAAGAATAGATGGCCAGTAACGGACAGAGGAAAAACATTGGGGGCGACACTCCTGCTGGGAGTGGCAGACCAATTGACCTTGACGTTGAAGGAGACAACCACAATACAGAAACTCATGACCAGGGCCACGGAGAGAAAGACGTCGGCCAGGAGGGCGACGCTTCAAAGAGGACAGACCAAAGCAAGTATTATAACGAAGATAACCTTTAGGTATGGAGGGATAGGTGCCTACGGAGGGATGAGGAAGTAAAAGACTTGGCAAACAAGTTGGCAGACCTACAGTCAGTGGTCAACTTCATGATGCAAAACAATGTCATGCAGCCACCATACCCGCTGCAGGATACGCCGATGCCAGCAACTACCACCCAGAAGGGAGGAAGAAGAACAATCCCTGAAGTCCCTCAACACACCAGGAGCAGAAGGCACTCTCACCGACCTTCCAGGGAAGGCAGACGAGAGGAGCCGAGACGAGAGGAGTCCCGAAGAACGTATCACACGAAGGATCTAGAGCCCAAAGAACATCGACATGTTCAAGGACAGGCGCTTTGCTTTGACACAACACATGGAAAGAGATCAAAACGACCCCACTACGAGGCCAAAAGTAGTGTGCCGAAGAGATTGAAGTCCAGAGATAGTCGAGCTCCAGGAAGGAGTAAAGAAGACTTAAGAGATTACCTCAAGAGGAAGCAACAGAATGCTAGTCCAGAGATAGCCGAGCTCCAGGAAGGACTAAAGAAGACTTAAGAGATTACCTCAAGAGGAAGCAACAAAATGCTGAAGCTGAGGTAACTTCCCCGGTTAAGCCGAGGACACCATTCTCGATGGAACTGGACAAATTTCAAGCACCAAAGCGATTCAATATGCCGAGGTTCCAAATATATAATGGTAAGTCAGATCCCAACTTCTACATCGGGCTATACCTGAATTCAATGGCATTATATAGTGGGAACGAGCCGTTGCTCTGCAAAGTGTTCCCCTCGTCCTTTGGGGAAATTGCATCAGATTGGTTCCATAAACT